AATGGTCGAAGCTGGTCAAGGGCACTGTGTATGATGCCGTTCTGGTCCAAGAGCACCGTTTGCTTCAACATCAGATCCAAGCCCCCAGGGCCTGGGCCCATCAGGCGGGGTACGCTTCTTCTTTTCAGCCAGCGGCCAGCACAGGGATAACGGACAGAGAATCGTCAGCAGGCACGGCGGTGCTGGTCCGCAGTCAATTTGGCGCAGCAGGATACCAGCATCGGTTCCTCGGCGAGCGCGTGGCGGCTTGCAGAGTCGCTTTGGCCTACAACGTGGAGGTGCTGGTAGTCTCGGTATACGGGCATACTACTTTGGGGCTCAGCGGAGCCAATCTCGATTTCTTGGAGCAGGTCAGCGCGGTGGTAGCAGAGGCTAACATCCCTTTCGTCATCGGCGGTGATTGGAATATTGACGCTGAAGAGCTCAGGGAGTCCCAGTGGACTGGGCACCTAGGGGCCAGCATCCTGCGGCCAGAAGGTGCGACCTGCCACGACCACTGCTACGACTTTTTCGTCATCAGCGGGTGCCTGGACTACCACGTCGACTGGTGCGCTGGAGTGGCCGACACCCCAGTAGGGCCGCACTCTGCGGTGGCCCTCCGCATGCGAGCGCTGGCTGGCCAGGCCAAGGTTTGGAAGCGCATTGTGCCCAAGCGTTTCCCTCTGCCCCAGGATGATGATGAGAGGATGCAGATGTTTTTTTCGGGATCCTGGGACGGCCCAATTTTTTTGGGCCTGGGTCCTCTGGACGCTGCGTCCAGATGGTTCTCCTCTGCGGAAAGGGCCCTCGCTGAGGTCCACGGTGTGACGGACCCCAAGTTTTTCGGCCGACACAAGGGCTGCCAGATACAGCTCGTCCCTCTGCGAGCAGCTTGGGGCCAAGAGCTCTACCAGCGTTCTAATCTGCTCACTCAGAAGTGGCTTTCGCTGCGCCGCCTGTCCATCCAGTTTTTAAAAGCTACTAAACCAGAGGTTCAGGCTCAGCTGGCCAGGATTGCATCGCCCCTCTCAACTTTGTTCGCGGAGGCGGGGCAGGAACAGCTCCGTGGACTTTCCCTGGCTAACTTTTTTACGCAGCTGGCCGACAGCGCGACCAGAGGGCCGCTAGTGGACGCGGTCCAAGCGGAGGTCGTCAGCAGGGTGAAGCAGGAGGCGGCTGAAGGCCGACAGAAGTGGAAGTCGTGGGCGAAGTCGTCGGTGGCTGGAGGTGGTCGTGTCGCTCACAGGTTCAGCAAAGGCCCAGCCCCTCCGCCCCTGCCAGTTTTCGAAGAGGCCGATGACCAGGACCTCCCGCAGAATCGGCTTTCGATTCTGGTAGGCCAGGCCGCTCTAGAGCAGACCCTCAAGGAGTGGATTCCCATTTGGACCAGCGCCGAGCGCGAGGGGGAGCAGCATCCCCTTGACTGGACGGTGGAGGATTCGCTCGAACCGATCTCTGCTGAACAGGTTCTAGAAGCGGCGGCTTCTTTCAGCCCGACCACGGCTTTGGGTTGGGATGCGTTCAGCCCGCGGCTCCTGTTGCAGCTCCCTCGGCCGCTTGTTGAGGCCTTTGCGGCCATCCTCACTGCTTGGGAAAGGAATCCGAGGGTGGATCAGATGTGGCTAGTGCTGATCGTTTTTCTCGACAAGCCTTCGGGAGGAGTCCGACCGATAGGGCTGCTTCCCCTCTTTGCGAGGGTCTGGAGCAGAATTAGGCACAGGCTGTGCTCAGAGTGGGAGCGTCGCGCTGATGAGCGTTTCTTTTGGGGTATGAGCACCAGCACAGCCTGTGACAAGAGCGCTTGGGTCCACAACGCTCTTGCAGCCTATGCCCGTTCCCAGCCTGGCTGGACCCCTTGCACGTTTTTCATAGATCTGCGCAAGTTCTATGAACACATCTCGCACCAGGGGTTGCGAGAAGCCGCCAGGCATGCAGGTTTTTCGGAAGCCCTCTTGAGGAGCTACTGTTCGATGTATCGTGCACCGCGTAGGGTCTCGTGGCAAGGCGCGGTCAGCAGAGTCCTCGTGCCGAACGGCACGGTAGTTGCAGGGTGCTCTGGGGCCACCACTCTTTCCCGCTTGCTCCTCTTAGCTTGTTTGCGGCGCGCGGCGTCGGCCAGCCCAGTCGTCTGGATAAAAAATGTAATCGACGATGTCTCGCTGCACGCGGTTGGAGGCAAGGAAGTAGTTCGCAGGGAGCTCGGGCAAGCGTTCCGCATGATAACGGCAGACCTAAGAAAAAAGGGGCTGCCCATCGCCTGTAATAAGCTCGGCCTCCTCTCTTCCTCGGGGGAGGTGGCGGACGGGATCCTCCTCGATTGTGGCCTCCCAGAGCCGGTGCGCGCCCAGGTCCATCGGGATCTAGGAGGTGACGCGACCGACGGCAGCCGTAGGCGAGTAAGCACACATCACGATCGTTTCTGCGCCGCCCAAGCCAAGGTCGGCAAAATCGTGGCCCTCAGAAGCGCTGGAGCCCCAGCGGGCTTTGTTTTTCGGGCTGAAGTTTCTGCCAAGGCTCTATGGGGAGCCAACATCCAAGGGCTCCCTGACGGCAAACTTAATCAACTAAGGGTAGCTGCGCTGCGCGCTGAAGGGCGGTTGCCTCGCGGCTGCTCCCTGGACTTAGCTTCCATGTGCGCGCGTGGCGGCTGGACCCGAGACCCATTGGTCTTGGTCACAGCCGATGCTCTGAAAACATATGTGCAGACCCTCAGAGACAATCGCCTGTTCCCCTCGGTGCTTCGATTTCTTTTTACCCAAGGGCAGGCCATTGCGTCAAAAGCCCGCCCATGGGCGCAGGTCAAGGACCCTGTGGCGGCTCTAATCCTCACTGCGGGGCGAGCAGGTCTGACTTTCACCGACCCCATGGACACTGTGCGAGGCCTCAGGGCAGGTTTGGTCCCTGGCCTCTGTCTCGCCTGCCTTCGTTGCTCGCCGTGCTCGCTTCGCTGCACGTCGCCTGTCTGATCTCCGAGGCCTCAGCAAAATCAGCGGAGGCAAGGGTTGGTTAGGCGATTTTTTTTGGCGCCCCCTCAACGAGAGGCTGCACTGCAGACGGCAGCAAGACGACGATGACGGGGCGGAGTCGGGCACGGGTGGAGCTTGGGGGGTGCGGGAGCAGAGGACCTTGAGAGGCCTTGTTATGGGCTCGCACTGGTGCCAGCACAGGCTTCACCAGCACGACCCCCAGCTCGAGGCAGACTGCCTCATCTGTCACGGGGCCAGAGGCACCCTTTTTCACAGGCACTTCGAGTGCCCTGCCCGTGCAGCTTGGCGGCGAGACCATCTCCCGCCTGAGCTCCAGGCAGCGGCTGCTCGTCTTGCTCGCTGCCCAGTTGAACTGCAAGAGCGATTCGCCCGAGGCATCCTCCCTGACCCCTGTCAGCTGCTCGCGCGGAGGCCCTGGGACCCAGCGTGGGAGTTCAGGGCTGAAGGAGTGGGTGCGTGTTTGGCGGTGGATAACGCTCACGTCTTCTGTGACGGCTCGGGTCACGATGGGATGTTCCCCGCTTTGCGCTCGGCAGGCTGGGGAGTTGCCATTTATGACAGCGAGCTCCGCTGGATCACGGGCTGGTTTGGAGCCGTCCCGCCAGCCACTCTGCCTGACCAAGTCGCCCGAGATGGCGGAGATTTTGCAGTTTTCATGGCCACGAGTTTTTTAATTGGCACGTTCACACTTTACTCTGACTGCAAAGGAACTCTCGAGTGCTGTCGCCATAGAAGCTGGGCCGAGAGTCCAGCCAACACACGTATGCATCTGTGGAAGGAGCTGTATGCTAAAAACGATTTGTCTGGGGTGAGCTGCTGCAAGGTCAAGGCCCATTCGAGCATGGATGACGTTCGGGAAGGTAAGACCAGCCTGTTTGAAAAACAACGGGCAACGACGCCGCCGACCGTTTGGCCAAGCAAGGCGCCGATCTCAGCAGGCAAGACCCTCAGGATATGCTAGTGGTCAAAGGCATGCTGTTTATGGCCCGTCAGGTCACCTCTTTCATTACCAGGGCCGAGGTTCATTATTCCGACCTAGGTGTGTTTGATAATGTGGGCGCCCAGGGGCTCACCCTCATTTCGCTCGAGGGCGGCGAAGGCCTGGAGGAGGACCTGGAGGAGCTCAGGAGGAGGGAGGCGGCGGAGGGACGATCTGCTGCTGCTGCTCCCCCTCCTGCCCCAGCGGACCCCTCCCAGGACCTGCCTGAGGTGCCCCTGGGCCCCGACCTGGCCGTCCTGGCCAGGGATGCTCACCAGGCCCCCTGGAAGCAGGGCGGCCACCAGCTGTTGGAGTTCCCGCCGCACGGTGAGGATCTCGCTCCAATAATGTTTTGCTCCACGTGTGGAGGGTATGCGACGGTCTCGGTCGGAGCTAGCGGCCTCCAGTCGGTCTGCCCTGGGGCCCAAGCGAGTCTGATAGACCCTGGCCGCAAAAACACCCGCGCTGTTTTAAGGTCGAAACATCCCAATCGCGCCTTTAAGCTTGGCCCCTGGAAGTCGCCTGGGGAGCGGGCTCGGGAGGTCTTTGAGGGTTTGGACGGCGGCCCAGGGGTCCAGCGAAAGGGCCAGCGAAGTGCGGTGGTCCCTGGATTTGTACCTGACCCCATCTGCTCGGCAGACTGTCTGCAGGCGTTCGGTTTGAATGAAACTGAAGCCCGAGTGCTTGGGGCCAGGCTGCGGGAAAAGCAAAGGGTTGCCGCAGACTTGGCGTTTGAAGACGGCTAGCTGTTGTTGCCCTGGGGGGCATTGTCGCTGGCCCCTGACAGGTCTTTGGCCTTCCTGTCAGGGTGACAAAAAGGTCCACTCCGATGGGCCCCCCTCGGGCGTTTTGTTTCAGCTGACTGTCGGATTTGTTCTCTTCCCCCCCCTCGGTGGCGTGCGATCCCCCTCACTCTCCCCTCCCTCTCCCCTCCCTCCTCCTCAGCCCACCTCTTCCTCGCCTCTCTCTCTCTCTCTCTCTCTCTCTCTCTCTCCGCGCGGCGCCGCGCGGCGCCGACGCATTCGGCGGCGTGCGGCGCGCGGTGCCCCCCCAAGGCCAAGCTGCGGGTGGACCTCCGCGAGACGAGCCCGGCGCCCCCCGGGCGCCCAGACGCCGCGGTGCTGCGGAGCGTCAGCCGCAGGGTGGCCGCGCTCACCGGGGCGCCTCCGCTGCCGAGACGGATCGGCGTCGTCCTCGTCGTCGTTATCCGTGTGGTCGTTGTCGTCGTTGTCGTCCTCGTCGTCGTCGTCGTCGTTGTCGTCCTCGTCCTCGTCCTCGTCCTAGTCGTCGTCGTCGTCGTCGTCGTCGTCGTCGTCGTCGTCGTCGTCGTCGTCGTCGTCGTCGTTGACGTCGCGACGTCGACGCGAGGAGGAGGAGGAGGACACGGAGGGAGAAAAAGGAGGAAGGGTTCCCTGCCCAGCATATCCGAATCGAGTTGTTCAATAACGGGGTCATTGGAAGTCGTCAGTGTCCTCGCTTCGGAGGCTTTTCGGGAGCCTCTGGTTTGTGGGAGTCTCTGGAGGTTGTTGTCGCCGCGGCTGGACGCAGCAAGGGAAACGTGGCAGGGGTCCAGGGACCGAATTTGAGCGGATCCCGGGCTATTCACTCAGTGCTGCTCCGCCCTCGTCCTCCGAAAAGCAAACGCACCAACACCGATGCCCTCTCCTCACCCTCGCCCCTTCGGGCCGCAGCTGTCGGGGCCCGCGTCGCCGCGGCTGCACTGGCTTCGGGACGCTTCGAGGATGCGGAGGGATGAGCGCGGAGCAGAGCCCCCCCCCATGAGCTTCCATGTCTGCTCTTTCGAGCACGGGGCCCCGGCAGCTCCACGGCCCCGCCCACCGGGGCACGTGCCCCCTCCCGGGCCGTGACGCGGCGGCCCCGCGGCCCCTGGGAGGAGGGCCCCCCGAGGCAGAGCCACAGGGGGGACGCTTGCGGTCAGGGTCCCGCTCCCCCCCGCTCCCGCCTCCCTCCCCTGCCCGGCCTCCCTCTCTCGCCCCCTTCCCCCCCTCCGTCCTCCATCCTCCCCCCCCCCTCCTCCCTCCTCCCTCCTTCTCCCTTGCCTCCTCCCTCCCTCCCTCCCCTCCCTCTCTCCTCTCCCTCTTCTCCCTCCCCTCCCCTCCCGTCCCCTCCCTTCTCCCTCCTCCGTCCTCCATCCTCCCCCCCACCCTCTCCCCTCCCTCCCCTCCCTTCTCCTTGGTGCCGATGCACGACGGCGAGATGCCGTGGGCGGTGCACTACACACCGCCCAGCGCCAGCGTCGAGGAGCCCCCAGAGGAGCGGCCAGGGTCGTCGTCATCGTTGCCGGTCGAGGCTCCCCAGACCTCCTTGCGTTGTGACGTTCTTGGGCGCGGAGGTCCCCAGAAGTCTATGGGGCGTTCCAGAGAGGCCTCCCCTTCGGCGCGTCCTGGCCCTTTGTGGAAGGCGACGGAAGATTGCCGAAATATTAGAAGGAGGTGGGTCCGCCGGCGAAAGTTGGCGGAAGGCAGTGGAAGTAAGAGCGCGATGCTCAGACGTTTGGGCTCGGCATCTTTCGGCATCGGCCATGTGCGCACACGTGTCACATCGCTTGCTTCTCTGGGCGTTTTTGAGAGTCTCGGTGCGGGCACGAGCAGATGGGCATGAGTGGGTCATGGCCGCGTCCAGTCGGGATAGAGCTCGAGTAGAATCGGCCGAGTGCGAGGGATCACTTTGACCAACGCCCCAGCGGCCCCGTTTCCATTCCGTCGTCGTCCTCCTCCTCCTGCTCCTCATCATTTCTCCCCATCCTGCTTCGTCCCTCGTTGTTCGCTCCTCCATTCTAATCCTCCTGCTCCTTCTCCCCCGGTCATTACCATATCCTCCCGTTGATCCTCCTACCCACTCCTCCTACGACCCCTTCCGACGACGAAGGCTACAACGACCGCAGCAGCAGCAACTGCTGCGACGAAGATGAAAACGTCGTCCTCAGGAGGAGCGGCGCATGTCCCTTGGCCTGCACGTGGACACCAATAACTGCCGTGACAGGCGCTTCGTCACCTTCCTGATTTACCTGAGGATGGCTGGAGGAGGGAGGAGGCCAGAAGAGAAAGACCAGGAGGAAGAGGAGGAAGAGGAGGAGGAGTAGGAGCAGGACGAGCGAGGAAGAGGATTGGTATGATGATGAGGAGGAGGAGGAGGAGTGGAGTGGAGTGGAGTGGAGTGGAGTGGAGTGGAGTGGAGTGGAGTGGAGTGGAGTGGAGTGGAGTGGAGTGGAGTGGAGTGGAGTGGAGTGGAATGGAGTCCATCACAGGGCCATGATCCGAACGAACCTACACCTGCTGCACCAACCTTCCCTCCCCGCGGATCACGAGGCTAAACGCGACGAAGTAATTCAGGTCCCTCGGCCATCGCGCCAAGAATACCCAGAATGCGTTCACTGTGATCAGGCGCCCCACCACTGGTGTGTAGCCAAAAAGTGGCCAATTGAGGAGTTGAGTGAAAATCTGTCTCCAAACAGTGCTTGCACTTGTTATCGTTTTTTATTCATTGGTTTGCCGATCGGCGCGGGTCCTCGCACACACCCCCCTCCCCCACCCC